ACTGGCACCCTCTCCACAGGGTCCCCGCTGGATATGGAGTAGAGTGTGTATCCTTCATTTACTCCAAACATTTGAGCACCAAACTCATTTCTGCCTGTTCAACTTTATGCCTGCTAAACACTGGAGTTATAATTTGACATCAAACCACCTCTTGGTCGGTGAGCAAATGTTACAAACAGTACAGAGTCATCTTTCATCCCCATCGTATAAATCTTTAAACTTATTGCCGTGGTAGGCGAGGGTGCAGTCGTGGGTGTACAGAGTATAGAGCAGGGGGCTCAGCACATAACCTTGTGGGGAACCAGTACTGAGGCTTAGAGCTGTGGATGTGTGTGGGCCCACTCTCATCCTCCGGCCGCATCTGGACAGGAGGCTCCAGACTTTTGAAGTCTGCTTTGGGTCATTGTCCTGCTAGAAGACCCATGACCTCTGACAGAGACCCACCTTTCTGACACTGGGCCCCACATTGTGTCCTAGAATTCATTGGTTCTCTTCAGATTTCATAAAGCCACACACACAGTCAAGACATCCAGAGCCTGAAGCAACAAATCAACCCCAAAACATCAGTGAACCTCCACTGTGTTTGATTGTAGGGACCATGTTCTTTTCTTTGAGGGCCTCATTTCATTTTCTGAAAACAGTAGAATGATGTGCTCGACCAAAAAGCTCTATTTTAGTCTCATCTGTCCACAGGACATTCTCCCAGAAGGACTGTGGCTTCCTCTGGTCAGTTCTGGCAAACTCCAGTCCAACTTTTTTATGTCTCTGTGTCAGCAGTGGGGCCCCCTGGGTCTCCTACCATAGTGTCTCTTGTCTTGGCAACGGAAAGTGCGAGCTGATAGTGTTGCACCCTGTGCCTGCAGGTCAGATTGGATTTGTTTGGATGCTGATCGAAGTTCTTTATCCACATTCAAACAATCCTTCATTGCAATCTGTCATCTATTCTTCTCTTTTGTCCATGTCCAGGGAAAACATTTCATAAAAGGCGATTCAAACTTTTACACCAATATGATTTTCATTATTTTACTATAACTTTCTTTTTATACACTCCCTGACCCTTTTAGTTACTTCTGTTCTGAACATTTTTTACTACCTGAATGTGCATTCTATATTATATTGATGAGACAAAAAAAATCTTTGTTTTACTCTTTTTGTCAAGCTGTCCCTTGTAGGCTAGTGGTTAAGGCGCGGAGCTCTCGCCGCTGCGCCCCAGGTTTGAATCAGGGTTGTGTCA